ATTTAATTATAATAAGACTTAAAATATATAAAATATATTAATTAACTATTAAGAAACTCTATTTTTATAAAATTAAATATATAAAATAAAATTTTATATTATTATTTATTAATAAAATAAATCTTATATTTTTATAAATCATAATTATTATTAAGTCTTTTACTTAATATATTAGCCTGTTATTTAATAAAATAATATAAAGGTAAGGTAAGATAAGACTTATATTATACTAATACTAGAGTGGCCTTTTCTACCCCTTTATTTAGGCTCTTAATGCTACATGTTGCTTTTAGGCATGCAAGCCAACATCTGTCACATTTAGTCCTTCCATAACCCTGCAAGACCATCATAGAACCAGGGCAATTGAATCCAAGCCTCTACATTTAAGGACTACGTTCCACCTGCAGTCATCGCTATTCAAGTGAGGACAACCCTTAATCAGGACGAGGCTGAAACAGTCTGCAAATCTTTTTCCCAACATACAGTCACATTGACATGGTAAAGCCGTTAAATCCGGTCATCATTACCTAAAGTAGCGGAACGCATAGTTAGGGTGGGCTAGTGGTAGGACTGGGCTTGGCTATGGAGGCGTGATAGGTCCGTGCCCAAAGCCTCAACTGGTCTAACTAGTGAAGCGGTATGACCTGGTCAGCCAGTGAATAGGTACTGGGAAGTTCAGGGCAGACTATTGCCAAGAGATAACCTCAAAGGCGTCTTCCATATCCAAGCTAAGTAGCTGTTCTTCACTCGATAATAACTTTAATAAAGCTAATAGTCCAAGTTCTCTACTTTAGATAAGATACTATGCTGACGATAACGAGCACTTGGCTAGCTAATTGAGATGTAAACTCGAGACATAATGGTGCTTGCCTTCCCTCCTCTGGCAGCATGGTTGAACACCTCAGCATTAGCTCGGGATACCAATCGGATTGCTGACCAGCATTTGCCAGTCATCGTTGGTGAAGCCTCCATCACAATTGCATTGTCCGGGAAAGACGGGCCCTGTATAGCCCTCATTAATAACATGATGTATCGCCTCCTGGCAGCACCGAGCCTCAGCAGTTGAAGGACGCGACCGCCAGCCACCGCCAACTGGAGTGAACAAGACAGTCCCGAGACTGTTGGAGTTCACCGTCACCACATTGCCCCACCCGTTTGTGTTCAGCGACTGGATGTGGGAGACGAGGCTGCCCAGCGCGTTGAACAGCGGGCCCCGCCCCCAGGTCGCGGTAGCGGCGTTCTCCCCGTTGCAGGTGATAGTGAAGTCACCCACGTAGTACTCCTGCGCGCCATTTTGCTCTTCGCAGGTGCATTCCTCGACGAAGGCGTTGGGGGCCTTGTCGCCTTCTCTGCTCCGGACGCAACCCCGAAGGACCCAGCGGATCTGGCGGCGCGCCAAGTACAAGTCCTTGGACTCAGAGCGGGCTGCCACATGTGATTCCTCGCGAGGCTTGACGGCGAAGTCCATAAACTTTGTGTCCAAGAATTCCTTGGGTTCGTTGTTAAAGTCTAGATCCGCCACATGCGCGGCAAAATCGTTGTCTGCTGGATCCGCCGCCGTCAGGTTGTCATTGAGCCTATCCGTATCTCTCTTAACCGGGTTGCCAACGTTGCCACCGAGGAATTTGGCGTGCGTAACCATGATAATTATGTTTTGTAACGAGCTTTGGTATTCGGTGTTGCCCCAATGCACCGAGTACTTGGGCTCCGCAACCAGGACCAAGTTCTCCAGGAGGGCCGATCACAACCGGCCGCCTTGGACGGAGAAGGACGTGGGAGAGGTTTTGGCAATCTGGAGGACGCAGCCTGTCTGTCACCATCGGATGTAGTTGTGCGCCGTGACGGTGACCTTCCTGCTGCCCCAACCTGCAAAGGCCTGGGTAGCCACCCAGACGCAGGATCGAGGATTAAATGCCGGGCCCCCGCCTCCAGAGAAGGGATCATGGACCAGCCAACTCAGCTGTGCGTGGGCGACGGGACTAATGAGTGCAATAATGAGAATAAGGGCACGTTGCCAGATAGATCGAGACGCCATGTTGGCTGATGTTGGGAACAAAATGAAATGTAATACCGGTTGGCTAGGGGCTTCTGTTTTAGAGTTGGATTTCCTGGACAAAGCAGTCGTATGAAGCGGAACGGGCATTTTTATATGTGAGCGGCCATAAGCCCATAGAGTTCTGTCAATGGTAGAACGTAAGTGTGGCACCGGACTTGGCCCAGTATGCATATAAGACAACGAACGCTGCCTTTAGGTTATCCCACAACTTCCCGAGGTCCACTTGAGTCTAAATCCTCCCGGTCTAGCCTTCCAGATAACTCTTTAATAAGCGGCGACCACTACCCCCGTAAGGCCCATGGTTTGATGCTGTGCGGGGATTCTCTTCAGGAGCCGTGTAAGATTAGGGTTGCATTAGTTCTACGGCTATTTACGTCTATTTGTTGTGCGCTTACTAACTTATTGGTCATTGCATATGCATCTTCACTGGGAGCCAGTGCTTAGTACCCTCGCTCGAGCACAGATTTATTTAAACCTAGGTCTTATATCTATACAGGGTTGTAATACAAAGGTTCCCAGGAGCTGTTCGAATTGCCAAAGATTATAAATTATATATTATATAGAATAAAAATTAACAATTAAAATTATATAACGTGGTTGATAAGCAAATGCAACAGATAAGTAAATGCAACAATCTTATTTCCACCTAAAGTGTTACGACCCTAGCGGTTACGTCACGTGTACCCCACAAAAACTCATGCAAGGCATCAACCCCTCAACGGTTACGG